GGCATTGGCATCCGCAACGGATCCTGCACTCCGTCGAATAATCCCAGTAGAAATCATCGAGCAACCCAGCATTCAGCTATCCAAGGGATCTTGCAACGCGGTGTTACACCAAGAGGACAAAATAGACGATCCAATGGAGGAAGATAACGAACAACAAAAGCAGCCTTAGCAAGATGTAATCAAATCTTACCTGCTATAAGGGATGGTTCCGGAGGACAGATGGGCGGCTAGACGCCTTCGGAGAAAAGCAGTGTAATATTTCGTGGAAGAAGCGAACCTTTTCTGATGGACAGCAAATAAAATAATACTGCGATGCTGCGATGAGGCGCAAGCCAAAAGAGTTATGATAGAAACCCACGATGGAGCAGGCGGAAATCATTCAAGAGGAAGGGCATTAGCGTTAAAAATAAAGAAGCATGGCCTATTCTGGCCCAGAATGATCCAAGATTATAAACAATTCGTACTCCGGTGCGAACCATGTCAGAAACATGCTCCAATCATTAACGCGCCTACCGAATTACTTCAGATCGCCGTTCCGCCATACCCTTTCATGAGATGGTCAATGGATGCGATCGGCCCGATGCCTAAATCAGGTCGCAATCAACACATCCTGGTAGTAACAGATTACTTTACAAAGTGGGTCGAAGCTAAATCATACCCCAGCATCAAGGCAATCGATGTCCAGCTCTTCGTTTGGGAATATATCATATGTCGGCACGGCCTCCCGTATGAGATCGTCACGGATAATGGCACGACATTCACCTCATCAATTTTTCAAAGTTTCTGCGACAAATGGGGAATACGCATAAGCTACTCAACACCTTGCTACCCACAAGGCAATGGGCAAGCGGAAGCCTCTAATAAAACAATTCTCGACGGTTTTAAAAAAACGGCTGGCTAAGTTAGAAGGAAGTTGGGCAGATGAACTAGACGGGGTTCTTTGGTCCCACCGAACGACTCCACGAACTGCGACGGGAGAAACCCCTTTTTCACTATCTCATGGCTGTGAGGCTTTAGCATCGGCTGAACTACACGTACCAAGTGCTCGGCGAACTTTAATGATTAAGGACCCACAGTTAAATGAAGAAAAATTAATCAACGCCATAGACAATGCAGAAGAACTTCACGACAAAGCCTTGCTGCGTATTCAAAATTACCAGCAACAAGTTTCAAGGTATTACAACAACAAAGTTCGAAGCCGACGATTCTCGTTACACGACCTTGTCTTACAGAGAACTATAAATCCGCTGAAACTCGAGGCAAACTCGGAAGGACCATATCGTATTACCAAAATCGTCAAACCCGGCGTCTACAGATTGGAAGATATGAAAGGAGAATCGGTTGAGCGAGCTCACAATTCTATGAATCTAAGGAAATACTATTCTTAAAAATACAGTTCAACATTTAAGCCTGTGTTTGTTAATTAGAACTACGAATGACTTAATTTTCACTTTGGATACGTAGGCAACCTCCGAGTTCAGTCACTGCCTTAATAAAGTTATCGTCGCAACCAGCTTGGTGTTCAAAGAAAAATCACTGATCAAAATATTGATCATAAAATCAGCTGGTCAGGTAGAGTCATATTTTCTTCATACGAATGCATCTTGCTGAGTCAATGTTCTGGCCAAACATTTGATTCAAAAAAAGCAAGTATAAAAACTAAAATTAGTAGCTGATCACCACTCCTTTGATACTTCGGTCTGATTTAAATACCTCCGAAGTGGATAAGATGAAAGCCGAGGTCAATACTTGCACGGCACTGGATCATACCTATCAGGCCGAAGTAAAACCTGTAAGCATGGTATTCGATCTTGATTATCGTTTGGAGTAAAACGAGCAAATGAATCTCGCCTCCAGCACAGGCCTAAAGAATGCCCCCGCATCGCAAGACAAAAGAAACTTTTTGACTTCGCAAAAACCTTAAAACTAAGGACTAAACTCGTCAACGAGTATGAAAACGATTTGGATAATAAATTTTGCTTTATTAGAAATAAGAGCGTCTTGCTTTGCATACAATAAAATAACAAAAAAAAGCAGCAACTAAATAACAGAACTCTACGCCGCTTCGGCAACCGGACCCCTGCTGCTTCCAACTCCGCATCAGAAGAACGCCTATGAACTCGTGTCAGAGCGGCAAAATCATCTGAAGAAAGCAGAGCATCCTTCATCTTATGACGCTCTATCTTCAAACGATCGGCTGTAGCAAAATGGGACAAAAGTTCCTCAACCGGAACCTCGTGTCCTGCCGATCTAAGTTTTTTATAGCAATCCGCCCTCGCCTCAGCATCGATAATACGGAGCTCTAACCGATGAAGATCAGGATCTTGCGCCATGAAAGCCTTGATCCGCTTAATGCGGGGACCATACCACTCACGAAGACGCCAATACACCAGGTCCACCACACGATCAACTGATGTGTGTTGGTGATCTCGGAATTCTTTCTCCTTAGCAGCCGCCTTCTTGGTTTCTTTAGCCGCCCGCTTCTCAAGATCTTCCTTGAGAAGTCTCTTCTCTTTGGCAGACTCAATCTCAAGCGACTTGTACTCGAGCTCTAACTTGAGCTTCTCGCGCTCGAGTTCTTTGATCCTCGACAAAGCACCATGAAGCTCTCGATCCTTGGTCGCCAGCTCCTCAGCTTTATTCCTCTCTCGTGCGGATTCTTTGTCATACGATTCGATTAGTGACGCGCACAAACCTAGACCTTGCATAAAGCGCTGCACCATCCCGGGGAAGCAAGAGATCGCTTCAGATCCTCTACCGACATCCCTTGATTAGGCTTCATCCGACACTGCCAGACCAAATTTGCCGCGAAGTACTCGCTGAGCATTGCTGGAGAATCCCCACCCCAACGCACAGGAATTAATGAGGATTGAAACCAGGCTCCTCACCGGCACCTCCCGGACCTTTCGGCGAGCCGCTTGACGGACCCGTCGGATTAAAATCCTCTTCCTCCGCCGATGCAAAAGCAGAACCTTGCTCCTCAAACGGCAATCCGACCTCTGGATCTTCCGCTGGAGTTCCTCGTCCGGTCGCAGGATCTTGTGGAGGATCTTCCGTGACAGGCTCGCTTGGTAGCGTATCCTCAAAGACCGGATCCTGCGGCGGATCCTCTGATATGGGCTCCTTACTCAGAGGAAAATCGGGATATCGATGTCAAGCGAAGGAATCCAGCTTCTCTTCCTTAGCCCTATATTTTTAATTAAAAAGAAACAAAAGGAAGAACCGCTACAGCAAGAAGAGAAGATTATTACAGAAATCGGCAAAGAAGGCAAAAAGATATCTGGAGCAAGAAGACGAAGAAGTAAAGTAATAAAATCAAAAAGAAATATCAACAGTTTCCTAAAAGGACGCATGTCAAGATTCGCGCAATCTCGCTGCTTGGCAAACCCTTCGCCTTTCCTGCTTGAAAGCAAAACCCTAAAATTGGGTAAGAGTATTTAATAATAATTAAATTCTTGAAGAACGCCACCCGTCGAACCCACTTAAAATCGGGCCGAGCTGGCTGTAGCGAAACAACGCTCTCGACGAGCTAACGCTTATTGCGAGATCAAACCCATTTAAAACTTCATGAAGTCCGCCGACCTGATTTACAATCAGTCTCGCCGAACTGGGAGGGGGGGGGGGGGGGGGGGCTTACTGTTAGAGGGGAAATGAGCATATGTCCTAAAAGGCTTTTTCTAGCAATAACCTAAGCCCATTAGGACCATGATGAACACGCCGACCTAGCTCGGACTGAAGAAAATATTCTGAAGATAACCATCGAAGACCGGAAACATCATATCAACTCGAAGAATTAATGAGAATTTCCATATTTCTCGGAGAATAAGGGATATTTTCATCACAAATATGGAAATATTAACCAAAGGCAAAAAGGAAAGGGAGTTCAGAGCAACCGACCTCCTACCCCTATAAATAAAGAGGACCTCGAAGCCAAGAGAAATAACTCATACATTCTAGAGAGCAGAGCTAAAACCAGAGACTCCAACACTTTCTAGTTTTACTTCGCAAACACCTTTTTCACTTCAGCATCGGTTATACCTTTCTTTGTAATCGCTTTGCTTACTTGCTATTAATAAAAAGACCTTATTCTCTGAAACCCACAACTGTTAATCAAACCCTAGTGGTGATTTTCTGGTTCAAGACTATGTTAACTATGCTAACTAATATGATGCTCAATTAACACATTGTACAAATATTGAGTTAACTAGTTATCGTATAATAAAAAATGAAATTATCATGTTAACAATGTTAGTGTATCAAAAAAATTATCATGCTAATTTTGTGAACATGATAACTATCGTGCTAACATTGCTATCATTTCATGAAAAATATGAGTTAACTTTGTTAACTGTATAAGTTATGCAAAATTATCATGTTAACAATGTAATCATATCAAAAAATTATCATATTAACGTTTTAAGCATGATAACTATCGTGATAACGTTAATATCACACCATCCACCTTATCACTACCATTACCACCACCACCACCACCACCACCATCACCACCACCACCATCACCACCACCACCATCAATACCACCACCATCACCACCACCGACACTACCACCATCACCATCACCATCGGCATCACCATCCCTTCCACCACAGCAGGCCCACCATAACACCACCGCCACCACAAGCACCATCACACCGACATCGCTTCCACCACCACCACTATCGGCATCACCACCATCACCACCATCACTGTCACCCTTGGCATCGCCATCAACTTTGCTACCACCAATGCGTCATCAACACCACCATCACCATCTTTATTTCTTTTGCTCTTTTGTCTTCATTGTCCATTTTTTTCTCTTCTAAGTAATAACAACGGTGAAGTAAAGATAAAATAGTGTATTTTTTATGAATAGTATGAATAAAAAAATTGTCAGTTTGTGTAGATTTCTGTCGGTTAATTTACTAAACATTTATTATAATTTCTCTTAAATTTATGCTTATTTGGAATCAAAGCCGTGTTCGAATACTCAAGCTGCGAACATGTCGTAACTGTTGCATTATCCAACCATATTCAACACCGACATACAGACATCTGTATTGACTATTAAGGTTCCTAAATTCAAATATCTCTTTCTCTCTATAGTCTTATATATCACCCACTCACTCATTCAACAAAACACTCAAAAGCAAACACTATGGATAAGACAAGAAGAACAGTGCTTTTCTCGCTCTTGGTAGTTTTCACGCTCCTCACGACCGTGTTATCGAAACATCTCTGTAACCAAGATGACAAAAAAGCCCTCCTCAATATAAAAAAAATCCCTAAACAACCCTTATCACCTTGCCTCGTGGCACCTCAAAAGCGACTGCTGCTCTTGGTACTGCCTCGAGTGCGGTGACGCCACCGTTAACCACCGCGTCATCTCTCTGACCATATTTACCGGTGAAATCTCTGGTCAGATTCCCCATGAAGTCGGCGACTTCCCGTATCTTCAGAAGCTTATCTTCCGCAAACTCTCTAACCTCACCGGTGAAATCCCACCCACCATCACCAAACTCAAGCATCTCCATTTTCTCTGGCTTAGGTGGACAAATCTTACCAGTCCGGTTCGTGCATTTCTGAGTCAGCTCAAGAATCTCCACTACTTAAACCTTTCCTTCAATGAGCTCTTTGGTTCTATACCAAGTTCCCTTTCTTTGTTACCTAAACTCGACTATATTGATCTTAGTAGGAACAAGCTTACAGGTAAATAAATAAATCTGTTTGTCTCTGTATTAGTCATCGATTAATCTTTCTGTATTATCAAACTGTATTTTTTCTAATTTTAAAATTTGAAACTTTCATTTAGGTCTAATACCAGAGTCATTTGGGTCGTTTATAAGACAAGTTCCTGACCTTTTCCTATCGCACAACCAGCTCTCCGGTCCCATGCCCAAATCACTAAGCAATCTCGATTTTGACCGGATCGATTTCTCCCGGAACAAGCTCCAAGGTGATGCTTCAATGATGTTCGAAGCCAATAAAACAACAACGTATTAGGGATAATATCCCACATCGGAAGTTGGAAAGGATCCTAACTAATATATAAGGACTATGGGCCAATCCACTTACAGCCAATTGGTTTTAGGTTGGAAGTCCATGTAACTTAACATGGTATCAGAGCCCGATCCAAATAATCCAACCCGATCCATAATCGATATGTGACCCAAAGATGGTCCGTCGATTCTTGCCCAAATATTACTGAGATCAATGACCAAAATAGCCATCGTCTCGAGGGAGCGTATTAGGGATAATATCCCAGATCGGAAGTTGGAAAAGATCCTAACTAATATATAAGGACCATGGGCCAATCCATTTACTGCCAATTGGTTTTAGGTTGGAAGTCCATGTAACTTAACACAACGTCCATTGATTTATCCAGAAATATGCTGCAATTCGATCTCTCAGAGGTTAAGATCACTAAGACACTTGGTAATCTGCACTTGAATCACAATGGGATTACAGGGAATATTTTGGTTCAGTGGACCGAAACTCCTCTTCAGTCCTTCGATGTTAGCTACAACAGACTGTGTGGACGTATCCCAAGTGGAGGGAATTTTCAGAAATTTGATTATTTTTCCTATATCCACAACAAGTGTTTGTGCGGTGCACCTCTTGATAGTTGCAAGTAAACCAAGTTTTGTTTCTAGGTTTTGCGGAAAAAAAAATTCGGTTTAATCAATTATAGACAAATGTATCATCATCATCCAGATTGATTAATAAAAACCAAAACTTGTATTCTCTTCATACAAAACATTTCAGTCAGTTCTTCATGCCTAGGGATCTCATAGATAAATGGACATAGCTAAAACAATTCCATGAAAGCTATGGTTTTATTCTAATTACGTCAATCAACATTTACCATACATAATTATAGTTTATTCGCCACTTTAGATTCACAAAGGATCCCTAGACATATCAAACGACGAGATCTCCGCTCAGATCTGAAGCCGGTGACTTACCTTATCTGCAAACCCTCATCTTTGGCAAATCCAACCCACCATCGTCAAGCTCAAATATCTCCGTTTTCTTTCTTTTGCTAAGCTGGACCAACCAGACCGGCCCCGTTCCTGCATTTCTGAGTCAGCTCAAGAATCTCGACTACATAGACCTTTCCTTCAATGACCTCTCCGATTCCATACCTGAAAATGCAATATTTTGTCAAAGAAATGTGGAGCTGAAACCTGCAAGAGAAAAGGAAATCAGTTAGAGGATCAAAGCTTGTAAGCTTAAGGGAAAAAAGAAAATCAACAAGAAAAGAAAATCACAAGATAATAACAAAAAGGAAATTGTTCTTATCTGAGGATTAGGAAATTGAAAAAATCATAGTCTATAGTTATAAATAGATGTCGATGGCTTCTTTAGAAAATCAGAGATTAAGAACTAGAGTTTTCTAAAAGCTAAAGGGGTTTTGGGTGGTGGAAATCTAATATTGCTGAATAAAGCAACGTATGGATGGTGGAAATCTAAGATGACAGCAACAATCAAAAGCATTGATGAAGATGCATGGACTGCGGTTGAAATAGGATGGTCACCTTCGACAAAAGTAGACAAAGAAGGCAACTCAATTCCAAAACCAAAAAATAAATGGACAGTTTCAGAGAAGCTGCAAGCAAAGTGGAATTCAAAAGCTTTATGTGAGATTTTCAAATCTGTAGAAGTAAAACAGTTTGAATTAATTCAAAGCTGCAAATCTGCGAAAGCTGCTTGGGAGATTCTACAAAGTGTGTTTGAAGGAACATAGACAGTTAAAAGGAGTAGACTTGATCTGCTTGCTTCAAAATTCGAGAATCTGAGAATGGAAGAGCATGAGACTGTTGAAGAATTCAGTGCTAAGATGTGTGCTATTGCGAATGAGGCTGAACTAGGAAAGAAATACAAAGACAGCAAGCTTGTTAAGAAACTCTCGAGATGTCTTCCTCCTAAGTTTGCTGCTCAAAAACATCTATGAGAGTTTCTCTAAACACAGATACTCTGAAGTTTGAAGAAGCAGTTGGGATGATTGAAGCATATGAGATTGAACTAGTTGCTGAAAACCCTGAGAAATACACAAGAATTGCCCTTGGTGTTACAGAAAATAAAAAACAGAGTGACCTAGAAGAAACAGTGGCGCTGTTGGTAAAGAAATTCACTCAAAGATTCAAAAAGGATCAGGGAAATAAGAGGTTCGCATCCAGTAGAAGATCAGCTGAATCAGAAAAGAGCAATATAAAATCTGATTTTCAGTGTTTTGAATGCAAAGGCTATTGTACATTTTAAAGTTGATTGTCCAACTGCAAAAAGAAGGGAGATCAAGTGCTTTAAATGCAAGGGTTTCGGTCACACTCAGATGGAATGTGCGAATAATCAGAAGGCTCGGGGAGAACAATCGTTCATTGGCATTGACGAAAGTGACTCTGAGGAAGACGAAAGTGAAGAAGATTTGAGTAACTTTTTTGCTTTCATTGTAGAAAGCGATGACATTGAAGGCAATGAAGCTTTTAAAGATGAAAAAGAAATAGAGAGCAGAAACGAAGATCAAGGAGAAGAGTATGACTCAACTGAGGATGAAGATGAAATTGTGATGAAACCTGAGTACAAAGAAATCTGTGACACTTTAATCAAAATAACTAAGGAGAATGTTACTTTGATCAGAAAGAAGACTAGTCTCAAAGCAATGGTGGACATATTAGAATTCGAGCTATTAGAAGAGAGAAAGAAGTCGCAGAAAGTGCAGATGGATCTTGACGAAAAGCTTAAGCAAATCAGGATGCTCAACTCAGGGACAAAAGAACTTGACAAGATTCTGACTATAGGAAGAACTGAAAAAACACATAGAGGCCTGTGATATCAAGGAGTAACTCTACACGAGAAACCTATGTTTGTTAGTGGAGGAAAACATGAGGAAGAGACTCGTTACTTTGAGAAAAAGAGCCAGCAAACTCAAGTTCAGCAGCAAAGATTAATTCAATCTCAACAACAACGAAGAAGGACAGGTTGCTATTTCTGTGGAAAGCATGGCCATATTAAAGCTTATTGTCACAAACTTCAATACAGAATAGACAAACTATGGAGACAGAGGAAATTTACCTGGAATGGATGGAGAAACTAATTTTCGGTTAAGTCGAGAGATCTCTATGAAAACTCATATCCTTGCAGGCAAGACAATGACATCCAATGCAATACTGCAATCGTATCTGAAGATCGTTCCTGCATCAGTTTGGAAAACGAGTCAGAAGAAAAAGAAAAAGAACTAATATGGGATTTAATCTCAGAATCAGATTCTGAAGAAGAGGAAGAGTTAGAGTTTTGTACCTTTAATGCGCTGATGGTTATAAAAGCAGAAGAAGCTGAAGAATGGTACTTTGATAGTGGATTTTCAAGACGTTCCACAGGAAAGAAAGACTGCTTGTCTGGTTCTAAAAAGATCACCAAAGACAAAGTAACGATTGGTGATGGTGTTGAAGGAGGCATTAAAGACAAAAGTGTAACAGAAAGAGTTGAACAATTAAAAGGAAACCTGATTAGTGTCGAACAATTATGTGGTCAAGGTTTTCGAAGTTCTTTTCACTAGGACTAAGTGTTCAGTCGTAGATGGCAATGGGAACACTCTCTTCAGAGGTTTAAAAGATGGCAACAACTGCTACATGTGGAACTCCTTTGGTGAATGTCTGAATGCAAGAGATAACCTGCAAATGGCTGAAGATTATAGATTTAAATCAAGTCCCTCCGTGGTTCGATGTGACAACAAAAGAGCAATTGATATATCTAAGAATCCAGTTCAGCATCCGAAAACAAAGCACATTGATATAAGACATCACTTCATCAAAGAGCTGGTAGAAAATAAAGACGTGAAAATTGAGCATGATGAAATAGAAGATAGTCCGGACAGAGAACTTCAGGTTGAAGACTTTCACGGTTCAAACATATTGGGAGAAGATAGTTTTGGAGTTAAAGCTAAGGAAGATGTAAGTCTATCTAGGATTCATACAAGCAGGAATACATTCGAACTACTAAGTGAAGCAGTACATGGACAGAAGTTTCAGGCTTAATGATGGTACAGCTCCAGGTAACTTAATTATCGACATGGTACTCTTGCAAGAAGAACAACAGAAAACAGGTCAATTTTTTAAAAAGGTGTTTTTCTGTCGATAACATAAGAATCAGATTGATAAATAGGTTAAGGAGTTATCTGGAAGCAGCTGGAATCACAATAAAGATACATTGATTCCAGATGAGCTGTTGAAAGAATTTTTTAAAAAAATCATCTTGAGTCAGGAAGTTGACGCGAGAGAAGTAAGCTATTAGGGAAAAAGAGTTACCTAAGGTTGCAGAATTTTGTGGAGAAGACTAGCTTGTATTTTGGAGAAAGTTATTTGCAATTCTGGTTCGAGAAGAATGGTTAGATGCTGGTTGGGTTGACTTTCTGTGTCGAGAGCAGTGATGAAAACACAAGGTCCAAAATTGGAGAAGCTTACTTGATATGAATTTGATTCGTTTGTAGAAATTTTTCTCCTAATCTCGTGAATGTAGAAGAACTACTGCTTAAGAATCTGCGCGAGTTCAATCCCGGAGACAGCCATCACTTTGTTTCAGGGGAGACAAACCTCGCCTATTTCAAAAGAAGTTGATGTCAAATTTCATAGAGAACAATTTTTTTTAAAAAAAAGAAGAGGTCTCAGGAAAAACGACTTCAGCTCAAAGAAAAGAAGAATGCCAGCTACTCAGGTGAAGCTGATCGTAAATTCTTCAGATCCTGAGATGTTTTGTTTATTCGGAGATGATTTAAGTCGCAAAGGGGTACCTGAATTCACCAAAAGATCAGAAGAAGTCAAGATGTTAATCGGAATTGGACGTTTGTTTTATTCAGGTTTGGTCAAGAGGAAGAGAAATGCGTCGGAGATCGGAGGAAGTGTCGTGAATGAGAAGAAGTGAAAACAATCTGGGTTAGGTTGAGATTGTAACTTGTGGGCCTCTGACATTTTTTCTGGCCCAAATTCGAAATTAAGTCCATTTGCCAACCTTATGTTTTTGAGCTGCTATTGCCGTGGCATGAAAAGAGGTTTGGTGTTTTGAGTTTTTAACTCATTTTTTGCATCCAAGCAGGGGGAGAGGTAGCATCATGTCAAAGAATTTTCAGTATTAAGGGGGAGATTTTCAGCTTAAAGGGGAGCATATTATGATTTATGAGCTTTCAGATTTTTCAACCTAAGGGAGATTGTTTTCTTCATAAGGCTTGGAAGACTCAAAATGAGTTAAAAAGGGGGAGATTGAAGATGCAATATTTTGTCCAAGAAATGTGGAGCTGAAACCTGCAAGAGAAAAGGAAATTAGTTAGAGGATCAAAGCTTGTAAGCTTAAGGGAAAAAAGAAAATCAACAAGAAAAGGAAATCACAAGATAATAACAAAAAGAAAATTGTTCTTATCTTAGGATTAGGAAATTGTAAAAGTCATGGAGTCTATAGTTATAAATAGATGTCGATGGTTTCTTTAGAAAATCAGAGATTAAGGACTTGAGTTTTCTAAAAGCTAAAAGGGTTTTGGGTTTTCTTGTAAGAGAATTTAAATTGGGGAGATTAGATTTTTTTTTAGAGATACTTGTAAGTTTTCTAACGATTGGTTTCTTGTAAGTTACCTTTGAATAAAATCGAA